AATTATGGGCATTTCTCTGCCTTATATGGGCATTGCGATCCCAAATACAGGGTATTTTCCTCTTTGTCACCATTTTTGCCCCATATATTTGGTTCCTTTTGCCTCTTTTGGCCATTTTGGCCCCAAATATTCAGATTTTTTTGCCTTTATGCCCATTTTTGCCTCAAGTATGAGCATTTCTCCACCTTATATGGGCATTGTGATCCCAAATACGGGTTTTTCTCTCTTTCTGCCCACCTTTTCCCCAAATATGGTGATGCTTTTTCCTTTTGTGGCTTCTTTTTTCCCTTTTTTTTCCCCTTTTTTTGTCCAATTTTTGCGATGACATCCAAATTTCTGTGGTAAGAGTCTACACAACGCACCCAAGGAGAAGGGAAAAAAACCCAAAACAACTTTAAGTCTGCAGGATGCACCCAAAAAGGACGAAAAATCCATTTATTATTTTTAAAAAAAAATGTCTTGGATGCACCTATGGGATAAAAACGCCCCAAATTGATTGGAAATGGATTTTAGTCCCCAAAATCGCCAGGGGAGGAGTTTTTGCACGGCGGGACATGGGTTTTGCTTCACCGTGGTGATGCTGGTGGTATTGACGCGTGGGGCAGCGGAGTCATCGTCACCGTCTCCTCCGGTAAGTCCTCGTCCTCAACATCTCGCCATGACAAATTTTGGTCTTTTTCGCCCCAAATCTTGGCCGTGGGGGGGCTCGAGGGCGGGAGACCCCCCCTTTTTGGGGCCAAAACCGGGGCAAAATGGCAGTTGATGGGTCAAAATGTCGGTTTGGGGCCATTTTATGGGGGGAAATGTCCATTTGGAGGCAATTTGAGGCCAAAAAGTCTATTTTGGGGGGATTTTTTAGGGCAGGAGATTTGGCCAGTGACCATTTGATGGTGAAAAATGGGTCAAAATGTCGATTTTGAGGGTCTTTTTTGGGGGGGGATTCGCCCTGAGGTGATTTGGTGGCTGAGTTGGGCAAAAAAAGTCAATTTTAGGGCCTTTTTTTAGGGGGGGATTAATCCATAGGCGATTTAATGGCAGATTTGGGCAAAAAAAGTTGATTTTAGGGTCTTTGGCGGGGGGAGGGGATTAATTTGGAGGTGATATGATGGTCAAAAAATAGGTCATAAAGTCAATTTTTTTGGAAAAAAAGTCATCGGCAGGTGATTTGATGGCAGAACTGGGCTAAAAAGATGATTTTAGGGGGGGTTTGATGGAAAAAAATAATCTGTAGGCGAGTTGATGCAGAAGTGGGCAAAAAACTCGATTTTTAGGGTCTTTTTTTGTCTAAAAATATAATCTGGGGGCAATTTGATGGCAAAAATGGTCAAAAAGCCCTGTATTTTGGCATTTTTAGGGTGTTTTTTTGGAAAAAATATGAAATTTGGGGTCAAAGAGGCAGGTTTGGGGGCTCAGTCTGTGGATTTTTTGTGCCAGGAGATGGTTTTTTTGTTGTGGAAAATGACATTTCCCTCCAAGGAACGCTGTTTAATTGAGGAGGTTTTGGGTAGAGTAGAAACAGCGACTTATTTTTTTTTTCTCCCCTGAATATAGTATTATAAAAATATATTTTTTTTTTCTGGGGGAGAAATCGCTTCGTTTGGGCGAAATGGGGAGAAAAAAAGGACTTTTAGAGCCAAAATAAGCCAAAAAAAGGATTTGGTAGTTAAGAATGGGGAGGACTTTGAATTTTTTTAGTGGTTTTGTAGGTTTTTAAGTGTTTGGTTGTTGGATCTTCTTTAAAAAAATATATATTTAAAAATAGAAATATAGTGATATTTATATATATATATTATATAAAATTATAAATGATAACTTAGAAATTACAAATTATAAGTTAAAAGTATTTTTATATATTATATTTTTATTATTTATTATATTTTTAACCAGACAGTTTGAATATCAAGGCTTCAAGCCGTGCCCTAAAAGTGGCATTTTTTTGGAGAGCTTTTTGGGGGCAAAAAAGTGTAGAAAAATCCATATTTTTAATTAAACCACTCAGGGAGACGAGTTCATTAGTTGGAAAAAATTAGCGAGATCCGACCTCAAGCGGTGGGTGAAGATTGAGGCTGAAGGGTAACATTTTTAGGTCATTTCCCCCTTTTTTGAGCCATTGGGGGGGGGGATTTTGAGTTAAATCTGCTGCCTAAAGTCCCTGAATTTGGGTCTCTGTCAATCTTCTTGATTTTTGTGGGGTTTATCACAGGTTTTCTTTAAGATGTGTCATTTTGGGGGCTCTCAGGTGAATTTGGGGGGGTCTTAGTCTTGGCTTAAAAAAAAAAAAAATCTTAATTTTTATAATCTTTTTAGGGCAGTTTTAGGGATTTTTAGCAAAGCCAAACTCCAACCCCATTTTTATGTAGAAAAGGTTTAATTTGACCTTTTGGGGACTGTTTCAGAGGATTTTGACTTCTTTAGGACCCTCAAAAATTTGTATTAAAATCCTTAAATAGGAGATTTCTTTTTTTAATTCCTTCGTTAATAGGAAATTTATTAATTCATACAGAAATAATGATTATTTTTCCCCCAAAATTTGGCTCCTTAATCATTAATTAAGAGAATGTTAAAGTTTAAGTAGGGACTTTTGAAGTGGGGGGGGTTTTTTTGTCCTTTTTGGTCCATTATTGTGACTTTTATATATATTTTTTTCTCCCCATTTACCAATAACCACACAAAATCTCCCCATTAATCTAATTTTTAATTAATTATTGATAATCAGGGTTGCTGGCAGTGCAATTTCTGTTGGTCTTATGCAGTGGGCAGGCTTGGAATGGGCCATTTTGGGTTAAAAAAGTGAGGTTTGGGGAGCTGGGAGAAAAATAGTGATTTTTTGAGGCAGCTTCCCAGCATCTCAGTTGTTCTCTTAGAAAAAAATTAATTAAAAATCAATTGAAAGGTGCCAGAAATTGAGTTTTCAAGAGCAGAGAGGAATTATTTAATAGGGAAAATGCATTTTATTACATTTATGAATGAACTATAAAAGATAATTAAGTATTTTTTAATGCTGATAGGCATATTTAGTCTAAATTGATGCAATAATCTGATTTTTCCCCCCCCTCCTGTGATGAAAACTCACTTCTTGAAAAAAATGGGGACAAGATTTTATTTTTAAGGGGTTTTTAGGGCAAATTGGGGGTGATTTATGGTGCAGGTTGTGAGGTTTAATGTTATTACTTTAAAAAAAAATATAAAATATATATAATATATTAAAATACTTTAAATATCTATTAGAAAAATATAGAAATATAGAAATATATAATATAGTATATATAAATATATATTTATATATTTTTTAATATATATATATAAAATTAAGATATTTAAATTCAGGGCTCTAAGTTACAGTGCAGCTCCAAGAGTTGAATCATTTGCCTGGGGATGGTGATAAATATCACGAAAAATCACCTTTTTTGCCCTTTGTTTTGCTCTTCAGGGCAGTACCAAAGGTGAAAAAATATAAAGAAATTAAATTAAAAGTTCTTATTTTGTGAAGGGGGTGTTTACACCTAAAAATGGCTGATTTTGGGCCCGCAGGTGGCAGCTGCGCTTGTTTATTTTTCAGCCCAGAATTGCCCAAAATAGCCTGGGTTTGGTTTCGAAAACAGCAAGAAAGGAGAAGTGGGTTTTTTTTTTTTTCCTAATTCCCCTTTTTTTATTTTTAATGATTTTTTTGCATGAAGAATGAATCAAACCCAACCAGGCGAAACGGGCCTGAAAAACAGCACCTGTTTGGGCTCAAAAATAACCTTTTTTTGGCAAGCGGTGGGGGTAAACAGAAACTTTGGGTTGAACTCAGGCAGTTTCAGACAAAGTCATTTCCCTGAAAGGGGCTTTATTATTTTAGCTTTTTTTAAGCTGAGCACTTAACAGGAATTTTGTTGCCATAGATGATAATAATAGATTTTTTTTTTAAATAGCTTTTTTAAAAAAAACCCAGCTTTTTTAAAAAACAGATTTTAAAAAAAGATTTAAAAAAATAGATTTAAAAAAGGTTTTAAAAAATCTCTCTATATTTTAATATATAAAATAAATACATTTAATATAAGATAATGTAGATATAAAAGCGCATTTTTATATTGCAATATATATTTTAATATCTTATAATATAGAGAGATTTAATCTCATTTCTTTTCTATGGTCATATTTAATATAAAATATACAGTAGATAGATATATATCTTATGATATGTAATATGATCTATTATATATTATATAGATACAATTCTATAGAATATTATGATTATAAGATATATATCTTTTATATTAGATTAAAATAGATATATTTATATTAGATAGATGATTTACCTAATC